GGTGCCCGGGCCTTGCAGGGGCGCTGCGCTTTCTGGAAAGTCCAAGGCGGCTGTAAAACTCGGTAGCCCTCACGAGGCTTGCGGGAAGAGGGCTGGAAGTAATTTTTAAGGACGTTTGTGGATAAAGTGAGGTGACTGCCGAAGAATGTTGGGTGCGATGTATAAATAACGTATTTCTGACGGCGTTTCTGTGAGTTGGGTAGCTGGCTAGGTGTTTTGTTCCTGCTTTCAGATGCCGCTGGACCAGGGCTGATCGTGGTGCCAAGCAGAGCGCTATTTTAAGCAACTTGTGCAGGATGATGGAAGAGTTCAAAAATATTGCCGATGAGACGTTTCCAAGCTTCTTGGGCCATTCACTGAGTAGCAGTGCAAGTGTGGTTTTTGAAAATGTTACCATTTCTTCAAACCCTGGCTTACCTGTTGCAGCTTCAACTGTTGCTAGGAGTAAACCAGGCTGTGACAACAGGTGAGACTGTCGGTTAATACTACTTAATAATGTAAAAAACAGTTGGCTGGTTTGAAACATTTGACTTTGGAGAAGAAGAATTCTTTTGACAGATTATTCGGTAGATGATAACACTATGTACTAATCAGTAGCATACTAGTTAGCAAACATAGGATTGACTGCATTAGTGGTGAAAAATCTGCATTAAATTTGTAACTCATGAAATACTTCTATTAAAATTACCCTTTAAAAGAGTAATTTAATTTTTAGTCTGGTAACAGTCTTTTAACTTGACTCTTCAGCTTAGTGTATTCAAGTTTGAGATCATACAGAGAATAATATGGTTTTTACACATGTGTTCTGTTAACTCTATCAATTGTTCATTTAACTTACCTGAATCTGGCTCATTTTAGAAACGGTAGTGTAAGAACTAGTGTCACGGATATGAATTAAAATTTAACACAATTTATAATGATTTGTTCAGCAAGGAGTAGAGCAAAGTGTAGCAGTCGGAAGCCTTTGCTCACTTAACCGCTGTCCTGTGACTTAACGAAAAGTAAGATCAGACTCTTATACCTTGTCTTTCCAGAAGTGTGTGTCCTAAATGGGACAGCAATAGCCACTAAAAATAGAATCGTGGAGTCGTTTAGGTTGGAAAGGACCTTTAAGATCATTGAGTCCAACCATAAACCTGGCATGGCCAAACCCACCACTAAACCACGTCCCTAAGCACCACTTCTACACGTCTTTTAAATACCTCCAGGGATGGGGACTCCACCACTTCCCTGGGCAGCCTCTTCCAGTGCCTGACAACCCTTTCGGTGAAGAAATTTCGGTGAAGAAATGATAGTGTGGTATTTCTCTAGAGAACTACAGAAGACTGGAGAGGATCATTCTGGGTATATATGTGTACCTGTAAATACAGATTGGCTAGAAAATGCGAAAATATTCAAATAATTGAACTCATAGCAGATGAGTGTCCATCAGTATAATTTTTTTTCTTTTTTTGGTTCTTTGGAAAACAGGAGAGATGAATATTAGAATAATTCTGTTGTGTGTTTTTCCTCCCCACCTTTACAGGCTCTCTGATGTCTGTGCATCCTACTTAGAAGACAAACACTCAGCTCCATCAGGATCTTCTCACGGTAGTCAGTCAGATCCTGAGCCAATGGGGAGATTTGCCCTCAGCTTTCGTGATGACATGTAAGTGAGAGAGTTAAAATCTAATTCTGTCCTAAAATGCACATACCAGTATGTAGCTTTATATGTACTATAAGCTAATTACAGAATACTTCAGAATTGATTTGCCCATCTCAGCAGCAGCTTCTGCTGCTGGCCGTTTGACGGCGGTAACTGGAGAGCTCAGCTGTGCATTAGCCTGTGCGTTAGCTCACAGTGTTTGGCTGCCTGTGCAGCTTTTCCTACTAAAACAGCTCCTCTGTGTTCTCTGAAGAGGGATAGTGGCAGGCTCTGTGGAAACATCCTGTGCAATGCTACCACATAGCCTGTACAGCCCTACATGAACAGTGTTCTGCTGTTTGATTGACTAGTTGGGCTTCATGAATCTTTAGAAATGATTTTTTTTTAACTATGATGTTTTGTCTTGTCGTCATGCTAATTAAAAATTTGTGAAGTGTGTTTAGTTGACTTATTTGAATCTGGCTTGTATTTACCTAGTTTACATTACATAATCTAGAATTAAGATGATGTTTCTGGTTCGTGTCATCTGTGTCAATAATAGTTTGCTCTGATTTAAATCTGTTCCACCTAAGTATACTGAAAGGAATGTCAATTTCTATTAAATTTAGCTTCCTTGTAGCCTCAGTGATTGCTGTTTCTTAGGAAATAACTAGTGTTAGTGAGAGAATTTAGAGAGCATTAGTAAGTGGTGGAAGTGTTGGAAGCTGTTGCTGATGGCCTGGACACGATCCTGTGCAGCTTGCTGTAGGTCACCCTGCTTTGGCCTGACCGTTCTGTGATTCTGTGATTAAAGCAAAAGTATGGTTCAGTTCCCTCAATCTGGAGATTTTCACATCTTACACGATTAGCTTATCTGCCCCTGTGGAAGTCCTGTGAAACCAGAAGTGAAAAATAACTTTCCTGCGGAATTATAAAAGCTGTTATTTTACAGAACTGTATATAATTTCAGCAAGTCATCTTCTTTATGATTTAGTCCCTGCTTTAATGTTACAAAAGGCAGGCTGATATTGTGGACTTAGGAAAATCTTGTCTAGGGTTTGACTTGCTCTCAAATTGATCATAGAACTCGCCCAGAATAGACCCTTTTCCCCTTATACTTTGCCCTTTTTTTGCAGAAATGAAAGAGACAACAGAACAAACGGGAAAAAGTAGAGGCCCATCTGTTACACTTAATGTTGCTGTTTGTTTCACACTTTAGGTTATGAAACTGCAGCCCTTCTGATCTTGATGTTTATTCTTTCTTGTAAAATATCAGGTTAATAGGTCTGTAGAATCTATATTAATGGGAACAGCTGACTTCCTAGAGACAAAGGCATTAAAATTGGAGAATTTATCAAATTTTTATAGAGAGAGATGTTGTGTACTCATGTTGATCTATTTATCTCACTGAGTGATTTTTTTCATTGAAATAATTCTCTTTCTAGGGAAGTTGCTACACAAGTTAAAGAACCGCAACCAACTTCTGTTAGTTTGAAAGAATCCCGCTCAGTGTATGGAGAGCAGGATCAGAATGTCATTGAGCATTCAAATCGCAGTCAAGATACCTTACTTGAGGTATTGCCACTTGAACGATTGGAAGGTATTAAAATTTGAGAAAAACTGTATACTTATTCTCAGTGCAATTAGCTTTTTATGCTATGGATGTCTTCTCTTGACCCTTTCACTGATTTATGGCATAGTGTAAGAGGGTATTGAAAACAAATCTCTTTGATTTGAACAAGGTGAACGCAGAGAAAGCTTGTGGTTGACATTATGTTCTTAGATTTCTCCCCAAAGTACAAAGCTGGACAGGAAGCTGGTGAAAATAATGTTTGCTATAAAAATACTGTAACTAGAATGCTAGTAGGAATTTGAATTAATTTCAGGAAGTTTACTTGTGGAAAAAGTGTATGTAAGTTGTTTTCTACCCCCGTCTCTTTCAGTAGGTGTAAGTCTATGACATTATATTTAACTAATGTCTCTCTTCTTGCCCCGTTCCAACCTGTAATAGATAATCTTTAACTGCAGCTGTAGAAGCTGGAAACATGCTTTTCTAGTGAGGTGATGCTTGAAAAAGTGTTTTGGGATGCTTGCTGTGAAAACTATGCTTTTTTTGAAGTATGAATAGAGTAGTGGAAGCAAAATAATATTCAGTAACTTGTTTCAAAAGCATGGCTATTGATATTAAACTTGTTTGGATTTTTTGCTAATGCCAGTCCTGTGATTAAATTCTCCTTGTTCCTTAAAGTTCAGTTAATGTATTTAGTAAAGGGCAATGACTAGAAGTATATATTTACTAAGCTTTATCTGAATCTTTGCATAGATTTTTGTGAGGTGAGAGTTAATAATTTAATAGAGAACATGTTCAATTAGAAGGTACTATGGTTTGTAATGTAAATGGGCCCTTATAAAACACACTTCTAACAGTGAAGTGTTAACTTCAGTCCCTTGTTGTTGTAGTCTTGAGAAAGTAGCGGTAGCTATGGCAGCAAAGGTCACGATGCTTTGGAAAACTGGGACTGCCCAATGTTTGGACTTGATAGTGCCTGATTGTATTTAGTTAATTAATTTTAACTTGTTATTTATTCAAGGTTTAGGATTCTGGTCTGGAAATTGGCTTTTATTCCCATCTGTTACTTAAGAATTAGGAACCTTTTTTTGCTAAGATCTGTATGTGTATGTCTAAAAAGTTCTCTCTCATGGGACTTGCAATTGGATTACGGGTGGATACAACACAAAGAAGTGGAAGCTGCGTACAAGTGATCAAAAAAAAAAAGAATTGGCCCAGTAGGTGAAATGCAACGGTGGAACAGAACACTTGTTCCTACTGTTGCCAGTGCAACCTGGCACTCCTTACTTTTTTGCGCTGCCTTTTAGAAATCTGTAAGGCAGTAATTGTCTTGTGTAATTTTTACAGTTCTAGCCCTGATGAAGCCCTGCCTTTTTAATGACTCCCAGATACTTTAGATCATTGTTATAAGAACATGTCAACTTTGGTATTGTGATAACGTTTATATTTCAGGGTTATTTTTATGCCAAGGCCTTCAAGAGGCTTGGTCTGCTATCTTATAGAGTAGTTAGTACTTAGTAGTATAACATAAGAACGTAATAAACCACTGATTACGCTACATTCTTTTGTTTCAGATTTGTCAACTGGAATATGTTTTCTTCCAGACAGTAAGAATAAGAAGGTGAAAGCTTTTCTAAATACAGTGAAAGTAAAGGTTTTCTAGTATTAATCTTGTAATACACTTAATTCTGTGAGAGGAGGAGGGAGGGAATTGAACTGTGTTTATTGCCTTACGTCGTGTATCCCTTAAGTTAGTAGCAGTGCTAGCATGCTGAATGTGTCGTGCCTCGCTTTGCCTCCTTTTTGCAGATTGCTTAATTACTACTGTGGGAGCATGACTCCACCTAATCTTTCACAGTTGTGAAAATTGTTGTTTACTTCAAGCCTCTGCTGTCTTCTGGTTCTTTATCAATGTATAGACCTCACATTTTATCCCAATTATAGTTTAGTTTAGTGAAAAGCCTTTTGAGGAACTTTTTGGAATGTTTTTGGAAATTGAAGTAGACAATATCAACCTGATTCGACTTGCCCCTGTACTTGTTAATTACTTTGAGGAATATTAGTTCAGAGTCCTCAACATTAAAAACTGCACCATTTGTGAGAACACAGTCTTTCTGCTGCCTGTGTATATTTTTTGTGTGTGCGTGTCTCTGTCCCAGAGCTACCAAATAGCTGCAGGTATGTGCAGGTCAGGCTATGCTTCAACTGTTTTTATCTACTACGTTAGAGAAGCTGACAATTATGGGCACAGAGGTACAAGGCGGACAGGAATGGGAGATCTTGTGGCCCTTATAGAAAATATGCCTCAAGGTGCAGCCAGATGCTGTCCAGTGTGTACTTTTTAATGTGTCGGCTGGTATTTACTAAATTGATTTAGTTTTCTTTGATTTTTCTGGGGGCCACAGTGCTTAGTGAGTTGCAGTTGAGTGCTCACAGGCTGTCATTTGAAAACTGTAATTCAAGTTCTCCAGTTCTTTCTGAACTTTGACTTTTTTGCTGTCTGTCAAAGATGATCTGTTTATCACAAAGAATGTGAGACTAAATCGAAAACAGACATTACATTGTGCTGTTTTTAAATATCATTCAGGTATGTAAAAGGTACAATATTTACAGTTAGCTGATTCAGCTGAAATACTACTTTGTAAGTAATTTAGTATCCTCATTTGAAGAAATTATCATTCACTTCAACAAATCGGTGTACGATTTCTGAAGAAGCACTGTTTTAGCAGCATAGGAAACTATTGAGAGTTGTCCTTGTACTTTTAAGTTGGGAATGCAGCTAATGAATGGAGGGGGTAATTTTTCAAGTATCAACTCTTTAATGCTTTATTTTTAAAACTTTATAAAGTTTATAAAACTTTATTTTTGAGGTCTTTTAGGTTTAGTGTCATTCAGATCATTTTCCCCTCTTTCCCCTTTATGATTCCTGTATTTGTTGCATATATCCATTCTGGAAGCTAGCAGGCAAAGTCCTTTAGAACTAGAATGTTTGCTGGGATAAGTAGGGGGAAAAAGAAAAAGGGAGGGGGTGTTGGAATATTTATTAACCTCATGAATTACTTATTATTAACTGAATTTATACGATAGCTAGTAACTCCTAGAAACGTTTCTGTATGGATGCTTTTCACAGGTTGGTCCATCTGAACCTTCTGAAAAGCTGATAGAAGGTGAAATCTCAAGTGATCATCTTAGCAATAGCCTTTCAAGTTTTTTGGAAAATGAGAAACTCTCATCTCTTGCAAGCTCAGAAGAAGATTCCATTGGTAAGTGTATTTATATCTCTGGGTAGTTGAGTCTAGAATTCTGACTCGATGTTATTGTGTACTTGAAAAGAAAGGTGTTGTTTTACTGAAGTATTTAATACAGGGTTACGCTTGATTAAAAAACTGTATTAGGAATATGAAAGAAAACTGTTTATTGAGAAACTGGCTGTTTTAAAATTGTAATAGGGGTAGATGGCTATGGAATTTGTCAGAGAAGATCACAAGTGGATGTTCAAAAAATTAAACAACAGTCCTCAGTTGCTGTGAATCAAAAATACAGGTAGAAACGTGGGCATTTGTTAATAAAGTGGTAACCCTAGCCACAGTCTCAGTTTAGATTAATAGAGATAAAACTCTATGATGAGGAACATGTACATGCAGTTAGAATTAACTTTTCCTTAAGTTTCAGTTCAACTCTCTTTAGATGCCACACGTGCAGGGTGACAGCCAAGTCGGAAGTGTAGTTTACCTGCAGGGATAAAAGTGAAAGCTTGAGTTCTGTATACCTGAGCAAGAGTTTTGAAATTTCTCTGCCCTTCCAGTAGTTGCTGCTGAAGGACAAACATGCTCTTTATTAATGCAGTTGACTTTGCAGGTAACTTGAAGGGTGACAGGGTATGTCCTCAGATGCACCAGGAATGAGGAAGGCAGAGTGATAAATAGGTTTACTGCATCTTAAGACGAAGCAGCCCTGTGTTCAAGTAGGGTTACTGGATTTCTCTCACGACCTCTACAGATGTCACGATTATCTTTTGAAGTCTTGTTCTTTCTTGTTGCATAACTTCACTTGTGCATTAAGCATATAAAAATGAAGTTAATAGTTTGCTAACTAAAAATACTGTTGTTTTTTTTTTCCACCCAAGGGGATGGAATTACTTTTAACTGCCCTCCAAAGGAGTTGGTAGTCATTAGCTGGAAATACTTCCTTATTCAGGGTTCCGGTACTGATGAAGCTAACTGATCTTTTTATTTTTCCTGGTCAGTGTGCAAGTTACTAATTTTTATCATCCAATTCTGTATTCAGTGTAAATTTGGCAGCTGAGTATTTCTAAAAATAAGGAGGAAGTCTCTGGTATCTGAACTAGAAGACATTAATGTACTTTCTCATTATTTGGAAGATAGCAGATTATTATTTCAGTTTCACAAAAGAAATCGAGACATAGGTAATGCAATTAAAACAATTACTGTGTTGTTGGTAATTTGAGTTTGAATTGTACTTATTTGTCTGCCATTCAGGTAACTAACTAATCCTTCTGTCATTTTTAAAGCATTCTATGGATGTTTGTTCTGAGGATAGGTATTAGTCCTCTTTCAAAAACTGAAGACACTTAGTAATAGCATTTAACATTTTTTGCCATTGAAATGTAGAACTATGCTTCAGTCACGTCCTGTGAAGTTTGAAAAATGTTACATAGATTTTTCAATTTGTAAGTATGTGTATGATTTGCTAGTTGGAATGTGGTGGTGTATAGATCATGGTGGAGGAAGATGAGTCACTTGATAGCCAGGGAGTTAAAATGCTAGCTTATAGTCATCTTGTTTTGCTGTGTATCACTAATCACGGAATAAGACAATCACATGTTTCTGTGACCCGATTGTTTTAAGGGAAAACCAGGATAATTCTGCTCTGACTGTGTGAGTGTGTCGTTGCTTTGGTAGTATGTCAGGTGATTTAAAATGTCTGTGAAAGGTGAATAGAATATTTTCTTCTCTTTTAATAGATGACGATATTGATGATGAAGAGTTCTTTGATAACCAACTAGAAGCCTATTTTGAGCAGCTGATACAACCAGAAATGACAAGAGGAGACATTGACATACAGAAACTCTCAGAATGCTGTACAGCACTGAAGCTTTCTGAAAATGGCTTAGTTCAAGTAGGTTTAAAGTAAAGTTTAAAGCTCAGCATGCACAGCATCCCTTAAACATGTTAGCATCATTGAGGGTTGTCTGCCAGGGTGAACTAGGTTTTCTTTCTCTCCAGACAAACACTGTCCAACAGGTAGCCTCTATGGCAAAGGATTCTTTTTTAAATTTAAGATAGCAAATACAAGTCTAAACTAGAAACAAAGCCGTTTGAGTGAGCTTCAGACTTTTTGTTTGCTCTGCGAGGTTTTCCCTGGGGAGGGGAAAAAAGAAAAGGAAAGAAGCTAGGTAGCTATTTTTATATTTATTTTCCTCTTCCTTGTAGTGCAGAGCTAGCAGCTGATTCATCTGCTTGTTGCAGAAAGTCTTGCTGTTTGTGAGAGCTGGTAACTAGTTGGCTGTCCCTAGAGACATTAGTCAGGAAGGCTTGCAGCAAAGCTGAAGAGTTTCCTGGTGTAGTGTCTCTTTTATTCAAGTTTCCATTTGGGTTTCCCATCCCTGTCTAACTCTGCTTCTCACCCCCCTCTTTGTCCTGTGCATAGCCGCCTTCTTTCTCGTGATATGCAGCTCTGATAGAGAACCTTGTGCAGTCAATTCTGTTACTTGATCTTGCAAAGAGGAAAAAAAACCAGAACAAAACAAAAAAAACAACCTCCAAAACCCCAGACTCCTAGGACTGGTTTACTGTCCCTTCTCTGGAATGATGGAGACTTGTCCTCAGAGAAATCCTGTAATTAATGTATCATCAGTAGTATTTCCTGAAGACTTTTTCTGCTGGACTACTTAATAAGGATTAAAAAATGCAGTATTACAAAAGTAAAAAATGCTTTTAGAGTTTTGGATTGTTTATGCTGGTCTGAACTTACTGTACCTCTGAGGCATTCTCTTGAATACTTTAAGGTATGAATGTTTCTTAGACACCTTGCTTCCTTTTTCAGCTTCCTAGTGGTGGTTTTAGTGTCAGAGATGGTAAAATGTTTGTAGATAAGCATTTGGGATCCTCTCAAGTCCACCAAGGGAAATTACGTCATGGGTGACTAAGCAGAAGCTTCTACTGATACCATTGTCTTGTGATGGCATGATTTTAATTTTGATTACCAGCTTCTGAATGCAAAGTATTTTTGCTGAAAGATAAACCTCCATAAAAAAGCTAATACCCATAAAATGCTTGCTTTACCCTGTCCCCTCCAACCCCAGCAAGCTGGGCCAGCTAAAGTGGAACTAAGGCCATCTTTTGATCTTGCTTGTAACTTGCTTGTCATGGCCAGGAGATGGGCTTATTGTCTGTGTAGGAATTGCTTAATTTTAATCTGCTAGTTCTGTGACAAAACTACTTTCAGTAGTTTAAGTTCTTGCTATTCTTAATTAGAGTTACAGTTTTAACTGTGACTGATTCTGTTTTTTTTGTTTCTATCACTATTAAGGTAACATGCTGTCACTTCTTTTCTATCATACAACTAATTTATAAAATCTTTTTAATCACTGGTTTATTATCTGGGATAGCAATGTCCAAGATTTTATTAAATGTATAGCATCACAGAGACTTGTTTTTCCAGGAGAGTAAGTAAGTTTCTGAAATGGCTGGTGAGCGTGTGAAAGGTAAGTGTAGAGCAGCAGCTGGCTGACTTGGGGTTTGCCTTTGAGCAGCAGTTAGCCCCATTACAAGCAGCTTGCTGGGGACTAAGTACCTTTCTCTTTTCTTGGCTTTGCAACAATGGACGTGATCCTGGCAGTTGCATGCTTGACCAGACTGGGAAAGTGTGGTTGATTTAAACAGTTAAAGGAACTGTAGTTTCTGAAATTTCCGAAATTTCCCAACTGACATCAGAGTTTCCAAGCTGTGGGAAGTGATATGTTAACCATGTAAAAGTAGTCTGCATAGGCTGCCAGTTGCTGGTCTACGGCTGTACATGAAGAAAGGGATGAGTGGTGATTTGAAGAGTGAGAATAACACAGCTCTGCTCTCTGACCTCAAGTTCTCTACCTGTGTAAGGCGTTCCTGCTTCACTGCTGTCGTAGATCGGCAGTGGGGTAGGTACAACAGGTCCTGAGTTGGGTTCGGAGTCCTCATCCAGCAGTGGGTCAGCCAGAAGGGGAAGAGGAGTAGCATGGTGCCCTTGTTAAAGGGAATGAAAGGATGGAGTAGGAATGAAAAGAGATTCCCCTGTCTTCTTGCTGCGTATGCCCTTGGAGGCAGATGCATGGATGGGCATAGCCAGGAACTGTTGTCCCTGGTGGTGGTGCTAGCAGCTAGAGATGCCTCTGGCAGTGGCACATGAGCAAACAAAATGTGATAATCTCTTTACTAGAGAATTTTTTAACACCGTGAAAACAACTGTAGTGTTAATTTTTTTTTTTTCCCTTTGGTACATCTGTTCTACTGTAGCTTAAATCTTAATTCTTTTAAAAGGAGAACTTTCAGATTCCTGATGCTTACCAGGCTGTGACAGGAGTGGACTCTGGAAATGCTAGTGATGAAGATTTGCAAAATCAAGGGATAACTGGATGTCCTGTGCAAAGAGAAGTGCTGCCTGGAGCAGTGCCGCAACCGGTATGAAACTGTCATTTAAATTTCTGTTTGTCATATAGAGTATGACTGTAGTAGAAGATGGCAGTGCATTTAAAAACTTGTTAGAGGGTGAACTAACAACCCACACTTTCTTTACAAAAAATTAATAGCACCACTTTGTTTTTAGATGTTTTTCAAACATAGTTAACTTGGACTATTTTGCACCTTGAACTGTTAGCACAAACAGTTAACAGCTGCACTTCTGACACTTTTCAAATGATTATTGTTTTCTAAGAATTGCATGGTGACTGGAGATGTGCTGGATTCCTGCACTGCTGCTGAGTTGCGATTAGATTCACTGTATCTTCAGTGCATGGACAGCCATAAAGCTGATGTCACAGATGTCCTTCCAAAGCAAGAAATACAGGCCTCTGAGGGTCAGGCTGCTGCTTTGGATGCAGAAGTACTACAGACAGCAAGAGGATTTTTGGGCCACTACACCACTCCTAAAGTTCTTAGTGCAGATGCACCTCAGACAGGTGCAACTGAATGCGAAGTCGGTCTTCCTGATACTTACCTGTCTCCAACTGCAGACAGCTGTGAGAACATAAGTTTAGCTACAGTGGACAAAGGTAGGTTGCTTTAGATATAAACTATACAATTGTGACCAGACTCCATTGCATGGAAGAAGAAATAAAATTGTGTGCTATGCATTTTTCTTTAGTTATGCAAGTTGGTAATAAAAAACAAGGTAGCATGAATAAATTTTGACTTGTTTTTGTTTTTAAAAATACTGACTGTTGTATATTGCACTTCATCATTGTTTCTTTGATGATCAAACTAGTTTAAACTCGCAGTTGCAGCAATATGAGTTATGTTTTGTTTAACTTGTTGCTGACTTCTGGCAAGTGAACTCCTTAATCTAAACTTAAGAGACTTTGCCATATTCCTTTTTATTTTAATCAACAGCGTAGCACTTGATATATTTTTCAGGTGATTTACCACACAGCATTGTCTATCAAAATGAAGAGGGCAAATGGGTGACTGATCTTGCATATTACACTTCATTTGATGAAGAACAAAACTTAAATCTGTCTGAAGATGATAAAATAAATGAAGAGTTCATTACAGGATGTATGTAATCTTTTTCATTTTTAGTTAGCTGTTGTTGTCTGTAATAGTGTTAAGTAAACTTTCTTCCCTTTTTTTTTTTTTTTTCACTTCAACAAATCGCTATTTGTTGTTGCAAAGCCACCAGGCTTTAGATACTACAGATTATTTGAAAGTAGCCTATTGTGATATTATCATTAGTTATAGTTGATAACTTCTTTCCATGTTTCCTTCTCTTCCCATGAAGAGTCTTCTGTTTTATTTCAAAAAGCATTCTAGCACATGTCACTGGTACCTATAGTATGAGCAAAAGTAACCCCTGTAGCTGTCATTTCCACAATTTTTCCTTTGGACTTTAATTATTGTTATCCTTTCTTTCAAGAAGGGGAAACAGTAGTCATTCTGTATTGCATGATTGTTATAAGACAGGAAATAATTGTAAACAAGAAATTTCTACAACATCAACTAGAGTGTGAAAAGAGCCGCTGAATTCACTAGCTTGTGATTTTTTTGTGAACCCCTTGGGAATGTCCTGATGCGGAAAATTGGTACTAGTACTGAAAAAGGCTTGGAGCTTACTGAGGGGCTTTACAGGATTCTTTATCTTCTAACAAATTCCAGGCATTTTGAACCTCTGTTTACTTTAAAAGTTGTTTATTTTCCTTAAGCCATGTCTGACTGATCTTCATGAGAGTCTGTATGATTGTCACACAGGCTTGGATAATATGCACGTAATGCTGTAGACAAATCGGTTCCTCAGCACCAAAATGTCATCTGGTCATCTCTTTTACTAGACAGATTGAAGCAATGTGTGCAACAGTTTCTCCTAGTGTCTTCTAGTTTCTAAAATTGGCTTTTGGATGGGCTGATGTATTATAAAGATGTCCAGAGTCCACTGAAGGTTCTTTTTTCTTTCAAAGAGAATGCTGTATATGTTGCTGTCTACAATTGTTTATTTTGAATGAGTGATCAAACAAGGTTGTCTAGTTGAAATAATGTTTTTCAACACTGCAGTGGTTTTCTGCTGGAACAAGCAAATATGATCCAGTTTGGTAGAAAGCTTCCTTATCTGCTGTGGCTGTAAAGCAGAGGTCCTCCATTATTTTTCAAGTGCCAGAATATTTCAGACGCTTTCCGCCGTCTCAGACTCAGGTTGTCAAGTGATTAGAATATTTGACTGTTGTAAATTTTTCCAAGACTGATTAGCATTTTCCCAGCTGATCGTTTTTTAAGGCAATTCTGCTTTCGTGCTGATTGCCTTACCTCTTCGCACAGTAGAAGGCATGTGCTTACGGATTCAATGTGGTTAGTATTTTTCTGGCTGCTAGTTTGCCTGTCTGCAGTCCTCAAGTGTGATGCTTGACAGATAAGAGATTTTATTTGTAGGGACAGAAAGGACATGTTACATCTGATGCTTCTGAGTCTCATTTATGGCATGTCTGTCTCTGTCAGTAAGCTGTGCACACGGTGTGTTCTTGTACAGAATAGCGCCGGATTGCTCACTTGACAGGGTTTGGTGCTTGAGGAAGTCTTCGGAGAGCTGTATGGTGCTCATACAGAGGTTTAAGCTAAGAACTGATACTGCTTTAGAGTTCAGCTGGATATAACGGTGTGTCGTAGTGCTAGGTTGCCTGTGGGAAACGCAGTTGGATTGCTCAATAAATATGTATTCCAACTTTGTTTCTTTCCTCAAAGTATGTACTGCGACTTCCCATCAGTAATTTTATGGACAACAGCTGTGTTCACTTTACAAGTTTGTGTCCCTTCTTGACTTATTCCTCCATTTGCTGTGTGTGCTCTATGACTAGGGATGCTGTGTGTATAAGGCCGCATATTTTATAAGTTTTGTTGGGCTTAATAATACATTAACATTGAAATAAGGTGGTAGAACAGTATCTCTTGATCAGCAGCTTTTTACATCATTTTGGTGAAGAGACTCTTACGTGTCCTTTGTCCTCTAAATGGTAATTGTGGAAATAACACAAGCGCTTGAATTTAAAAGAAGCATTGATTTATTTGGCCTGTTAATTTGCACAGGTATTTAATGAACTGGTACAAACCAGGCTGTTTGCTTTGCTCACAGGTTCACAGGTACCACCTTGATGAAATTTTCAAAAGCAAATGTAGTAAAAGTTTGTTTGGAGATAGTCATATGATGCTCAATTCTAGCTAGTATGGGTAGCATAACCTATGAAAAGTTATAGTTTGGTTTGGAGTTAAGGCCATAAGAGACTTACTTTCTTTACCGCTAAGTTTGTTAGTTAAATGCTGATTTTACTTTGGCTCCTGAAGATCCAGGGAGTACCCTTTTAATATGAATTTCATATGAACTTTTCTCACTATAATTCGATGGAATAACTCCTAGTGTGTCCCAAACTGTCTCAGAAGTAGAATTAAATGTTGCAATATCTGTCCCTCAAATTTAGTTTAATGATGCAAAACAGTAATGACAGCACTTAATAACTTATGCCTTATTTTAATAAATGTTCTCTTTGGTTTTAAGCTGAAGCAGCAGCTCTGATTGCACAGGACCAGGAAGAATTTGAGAAAGCACACAAACTTGTGCAGGTAACTAGTTACCTCGGTGTAAATGGAGTAGTTCTCTAATTTGTTTGCAAGTTAGAACTTCTGAAATCTCTTTGTCTGCAGGCGGAAAGAGTAGACGTTCTAAACGCATCTCAGTTAGCAGATACTTCATGGAAATCTGCCAATAGCTGCATTCTGCCGAGAACATCTGATCTTGATAAAGATGGCAGTTATTTACATTTGTCTTTGGGAGAGTTCTTTGGTCAGAGATCTGAAGCTCTTGGTTGTCTTGGTGGAGGCAGTGATGTGAAACGGGTATGTATCTTATATTAAGACAAAAGGAAAGAACAAGAACAAAACAGGTAGCACTACTTTTTTTTTATATCGTAACTAATTCTTTCTGAGAACTACTTTTGTAAGTAGTTTTGTTTCCCACTTGGAATTTCTGATGTGAAGGACTGGCTGGTGTTATCGATGAATCTTGATCTTCACCTTTTTGGTGAGAAACTAATTATGTAGAATTAGAGAGAGAAAAGTGCACCATATCCAGGGTGCATGTTGAAGGTCCAAGAAAATGATCCACATAATAGTTGAATGAAAAGCTGCTCAGGCAAGGGGATCGGAACAGTGAGGGTGTCTTTGAATGGCCGTTGATAGTTGACGTGCTATCTAGGCAATTGCCCAACTTCAGTAAAAATGTAGACATCTAGACTCTAACTTACCAACGTACTTCTGTATGCTTCTTGCACCTATCTGTTACCTGTCTCTTCTCTTATTTACTGTTGGTAGACAGCATCTCATCTGTGTTGCAGACAAAAAAAAAAGTGGGGAAGTGAGTGCAATGGGAGGAAGAAGTCAAATATGCTTGTGTAATTCAGTTGTGTCCTGGTGAATCGGTAGAGATGGCATGTTTTGTCTTGATGCATTCAGAAGCTGAGTGGCAGAGCATGCCTCCAGCCAGAGATCCTGAGACTTTCTTTTGTCTAACTGGTAGAAATAAGTTGTTATTTTATGTAGATACTGGAAGCGTATGTGTTGGGATTAGGCATTTGCAGTGCTAGGAGGCATATGTTATTTCTCAGTGGTATGAGAGCCAAACACCGACTGGGGAGGCACTGTGGCCAGAACTGCTTTGCAAGCCCACTGAACCTATTTCTTGATGATTACATTTACTCATGCTGTATTCCGGGGTAATTTCTTTTTTATAGCCATCTTTTGGTTACTATATTACATCTCCGAAGAGAAGGCAACCTGTTGCTTTGCTAAGGCAATCTGGTTCATCAGGAGGTGACACCGGCCAAGAGATTTCGCAGTTGTCTGAGGTGTTTCCAGGTAATTATAGAACAGAAGGGTCAGTCCTAGACAGTGGTTATAACACTAGTTAAGAATTACTTGTATATAGCTATTAAAGACTATTAAGAGTAATCGGTGGTAGAAGGACTCTAGTTTTCATTCACCAAATATCTTTTTTGTTCTGAGCACCTCTCCCACCCCCTCGTCCCCCAGAAAAACACAGAACCTAAACACTTACAAGAGAGAACATTCTAATACCAAGTACTACCCTAAATTGTCTTGAATATTTCAGCATTTCCAGATACTGGATAACTACCTGAAAGTCTTGTAATAATTAAAGTCTGTTCAGAGTTTTCCTGTTGAAAAAGCTGTATAAATGTGTTGCCAAAAACCAACCAACCAAAAAAAACCCCAGAAAATTGGTCTGTTTGCTCATATAGGTATAGAAGATATAGGGAAGGAAGGAAAACAGTGTGGGTTATAGCTGAGCTGAAAATGTGTGCATAAAACATAGTCTACGTTTTTTCCTACTGTCTTAAAAAAAGGAAAGTTACACTACCACGATGTGTGCTTAACTTAAAGTAGTAATTTAGGAGTCTCCTCCAAAATTTTCTATGTAAGGATCACCGCACACATCTTGGTGTATATATATATGCCTATCGACTTAATAAGGTATGTTTAGGAAAGGATGACTGCATTTTAAAGCATCTCTACTACTCTTGATAGAACTGTGGCAACATGAGTCTTTGGGAACCTGCTTGTATGGTCAGTGCAGTGACTTAAATACTTTTTTGCATTGGTGAAATATCTCCATCAGGCTTTTAGGGAGCTCACTTCCTTGAAAAAGCTTTACAGCTGTAATTTCCCTCATGCTGGGACCTTGCGAATGTTTTTAAAAGATCTCTAAAGATTTTTATTTTTTTTTAAATCTAGTGTTGGTGTGCTTAAATTCACTGTTCACTCTACAATAGTCTGGGGTTTTGTCAAAAAATACTAGGAGTTCATTGGGTTCATGACCTCTGTTCAATTAAATTATAGTTATGATTGTTGCCCTGAATAACAGAAAAATGCCCTGATGTGCTCTGCAGCTCTTTTGATATGAGGATTGCTATAAATGCTAGAGGAAGTAGGTATTTGGGTCACTTTGTTGCCAAAATATTAATAGTTACTGCCATCTGATTTTCAGTAGTATTGGCAATAATAATATTTATCAGCAATACCAGTGTGCAAATCTTGCTTAAGGAGCAGCAAATGGAGAGGAAGCTGAGAGGTCAGTAACCTGAGGAGGGTGTTACTTGAAATAGGAAGTAGGTCCAGACCACGAATATCTACTAGAAGAACAGAAGTAAAGGGGAAAAAAAACCCAAGTGAACAACAAAAAAAGAAAACAAGAAAAAAACCAACCAGAATCAAACA